CCCCCCGCCCCGGGGCATAGCTAAATTTACATGAATCTTTTCTAGACCAAAAAAACTGGAAATATAGCCCCCTTTATCCCTGGCCACTTCCTTCTAGCTTTCCTTTCTCCTTTAATGGAAAGAATGGAAATTTTTTTTCTTCGGACTGTCCTTCCCCTTTCTGCTCGTCAGCTAATTCACACTCCAGGTTTCAGAATGCGTTGGAAGCCTTCCATTCCAGACCTGGGTTTGTCTTCTGGCAGCCCAGGGCTCTCGTCTATCTTTGGCAGCCTTGCTTGGCATGGGTATAGCTAGACTGTGCTTGTTCACAGAATATGAAGAGGGTAGAAGCAGGGTGGGGCTGCTTATGGCGCCAAGACTCGCAAGGCTGGAAGGCAGGAGTGAGTGTACTGCCACACAGGAAAGGGAGGCTCTCAACCCAGGCCTCGAAGGCTTGGTGGGATGAGCGGAGACTTGGGTTGGAGATAATGAAGTGGTCTGGAGACTAGAACCAGGGCAGAAACGTGCCCCTGCTGTGTATTTGCCACGGTCTAGTGGTATCATCTCTGAAAGGAGCAGGGGCTTGTTCCAAAGACTAAGGAGGGTCTATGGGAAGAGGAAGTAGTGGAGGGAAATGTCATTTCTATCTTGGCGACCTTTTCAGTGGAGAGCAGGGACTGGAGCCTGAAGAAGGGCGTGGTGAACAAGCTGCTCCTGATTTCTGCCTGTTATGTCACTTGTAAGGCAGCTCTGTGCTGCTTGAATGTTTTGTGGAGGGAAGATGGAGTCTGCCTGCCCGGGACCTTTGCCACGAAGGCCTGTTTCTTTGAGCTGGGTGCTAAGAGCCGCCTGGACACGCAGCCAGCGGCAGCCAGCTCCCTGCAGACCTGCGGCATCGGCCCCAACGTGGGAAAGGAAGGTCGTAGAAGCACTCCTTGCCTCCCGAAAAGGGCCACTGTTCCTGCGTCTCTTCACGTGTCCCCTAATGCAAACAGAAAAGTCTGAGAGGGACATGGTATTTCAACCACGAGGTGCATGGCAACTCTTTAAATATTTAGTTAGTTATAGTTTTATTGAAATTCCAGTTAACATACAATATAATAATAGTTTCAGTGTACAATACAGTGATTCAACACTTCCATACATCACCCGGTACTCATCAGAACAAGTGCCCTCCTTAATCCCCATCACGTATTTCCCCCATCCCCCTGCCCACGGCAACTTTAATAACTGAATTTCTTTTTTTTTTTCATGAAGTTTATTTTTTAAGTTTATTTGGAGAAGGAGGGAGACAGAATCCTGAGCAGGCTCCATGATGTCAGAGCAGAGCCCAATGGGGAGCTCAAACTCACGAACCTAGAGATCACTGACCTGAGCTGAAATCAAGAGTTGGACACTTAACTGATGAGCAACCCACACACCCCTAAAACTAAATTTCTAAAGCGCAAAGTTGATTGGCACATTTTCATCTCTATTTAATCTTTTAAATCTTTTGGGGTGCCTGGGTGGCTCAGTCGGTTGAGTGTCCGACTTCAGCTCAGGTCATGATCTCATAGTTCTTGAGTTCGAGCCACGTGTCGGGCTCTGTGCTGACAGACAGCTCAGAGCCTGGAGCCTGCTTCGGATTCTGTGTCTCCCTCTCTCTCTCCCCCTCCCCTGCTTGCACTCCATCTCTCATTCTCTCTTTCAAGAATAAATAATAAACATTTTTTAAAAAATTGAATCTTTCACTATGAAATGTTCTAAGATTTACCCTGGAAAGATGCTCTGCTATGATATGGCTTAAAGCAACTTAATTTGACTGAGGAGGGCAATGTCCCTTGGGGTTCCAAAACAGCTTTTCCTCTTCAGTGAACTCTTCAGTATGTATTGCTGTTTTGTGTGGGGCCTCTACTAGTCCCCTGGGTTCCCTCATCCCTCAGAGCCACACGTGCCGGGGCTTGGGTCTGAGCTTGTTCAGGCTCTGACCCAACAGCAGATGTTAGCCCAGAGCCCTTGGCCTCTTTTCCATGCTTCGATTTAGCACTCTGGCTTTATAAGGAGAAATTGTGTCCTCGCTTCCCTGCCCCAGTTCTAAGCACCATGGCCTTGAAACTCAAAGTTGGAGACCTAAATATTCTCTAGACCCTCTTCCTCCAGGCTAAGGACAAAGGAGATGTTTTTTTACAGGTGAGTCATTTCTAGCTCCACGTGCTCTGCAGGTTGGCGGTGAGACTTTTGAACTCTAAAATGTGTGTGGCCTTTCTACTGGAATCTGTCTTCCCCTGGAGCCTTCTGGGACATGGGACTGAGGCTAGATGGTGACAGGATAATTAATTTCCTGACAAGGGGTTGGTTGCCAAATCATAGACCACAGGATCTCAGCCAGCGGAGGGGTGAAAAACCAATGCTCACCACTTATCTACCCGTTCAGTGCTGCTTACATGCCTAGGCCTTTCCTTCCTGTCATTGGTATTCTGGGCACTGTGTCTCTCTCTGTGTGAGTTGGCCTACGTAAAACATACTGTTGTGGGGGGACAAATTTGAAAAACACTGCTGTTTAGAAACAACTCAGTTTTCCATCTGTCTTTCCACTCTACTGCTCAAACAGGACACCTCACTTCTGATGCTACTGGTCACCAAAAGTGTGAGATTTTCCCCACACCAAGCCACTGAGGACACCAGCTGGGTGTCCTGCAATTTAACTCCCTTCTGACACCACCTACCTGGAGATAGCGTCAGATCCCTCAGGGTAAAAGCTCCGTCCACAAGCCTGCCCCCAACTTCAGATGCCAATCACAAGTAGCAGGCCCCCAGGCTCCCACGACTTCTGTCTGACTTGGATACAAATTGGAGGTTCCCACAACCCTTTCCTTGGCTTTGATTAATTTGCTAGAGTGGATCACAGAACTCAGGGAAACATTTAAGTTTACCAGTTGATTACAGGACATGATAAAGGATGCAGATGATGAAGAGATACCTAGGGTGAGGTCTGGGAAGGTCCTG